CTAAACACTTAATGACAAAATACAATGAAGGATGCACACATTTTATTTTTCTTTTAATAAACGAATTACGGTTCACACGACATATAGACATATATATTTTTTTTTTATGTTTTTTTTAATAAAACAACCACGGGCAAAATCACAAATAACTAGCAAAAAAATGCCACGTAAAAATCCAGCAAATGTAAAACAAGACCAATTGCTATTATTTTGTTTCTTTTGGAGTGATTGTCGCGTAAAACAAAAATCACGTGCTCACATGGGGCATGCCTTGTTTAAATCCTTATGGTTTACGCACATTCTAAGTTTGTTTCCCTTTTTAGGGACTACAACTACGTTTGCTAACCATTCGGGATATTTTACCTCCCGAATGGATCCTATATTGAGATGTTTTTGTTACATCTCGCATTTTCGTACGTTAAAAGTTTCATCTTCAGTTAATCATTGTAGACTCGGGGATGAGATTATCTTGAGGTTAACGTATTTACGCTATTTATAACAAGCGTTAAATAAGTGTCATGAAGGATAAAGGGTACACGAATTAAAGAAAACGAGTTTCGTTGAAAGTGGCCAATTTGGGATAGAATACGGGTCGAGCGATACTACCCGATATTTATGGACTAGTACCATACAAGGTACCATATGGACGTGATAATATGATGTATAAAGTATATTAAAAATAAGTAAAATTTTAAGTAAATTAAGATAATTTTTAATTATGCGGATAATTGGTTAATAATCGGATAGCAAAAAATTACCTAGTTAATTATTTAAAAAATGAGATAAGATTAACCCCAAGAAAGGTAATGTGGCAGAAGGCCATAAATAAAGGGATGACTCTTAAGTCATTCCATGTATAGTTGTCTATCTTGGGACAATTAAAACATTCAAGTAAGGTTTAATACAAATTCTTGTCCATTCCATTTGGACAAAAGAAGAACCAAAAAACGTTAAAAATTATAAAACAAGAGACATGTTCCGTTCTTTCTAATTCACGATACCTCAGAGAACAAAAGCTTCATTTTCGTTCAAAATACTTCAGAGAAACAGAAGCTTCATTTCGTTCATAATAATTTAAGGAATAGAAGTGTAATTCCATCAAAATTTTGCGGTTACAAAAGAGTACGGTGCAATCTTTGCCAAGAATATTATACGGAGTTTTTCCTACTCCAACTATGTCACTACAAGAAAAGAGGCCTATTGTGGTGACACAGGTCGCCACTGAAAGTGCAAAAGTCACCACAGAGGACCATCAGTGGCAACCCTATAGTCGTTGGCAATAGTGAGTGGCTGATACTCAATCGTCGCGGCTAAATTGGTCGCCACAAAAGATATGCTTTCAGTGGCAACATTAATCTCCACAAAAGTTAACTAAGATTGACACAAAATACACCTTCAAGAGACGTTAGTCGCCGCTGAATAGTCTTCTTTGGTGGCGGAGCATTGTTGCCACAAAAGGTTTATCTTTCGTGGCAACATTATTCGCCCCAGATTCCTCGCCTTTTTGTGTCAACTTTTATCATCACTAATATTCACTTACTTTTTATGGAAACAGGGGATTGTTACCAAAACTAACCTTTTTGTGACGGTAAAATATCGCTACAATACTATTATTTTCGTGACAACAATAGTTGCTACAATAAAAATTTTCTGTTTTTAATTTTTTTTTTATATAAAACTATAATAGACTCATACTAGTATTTGAACAATAATAAACAACCTATTTATAGTGGTGACAATACATTTCACGAAATAGAATTGTATATAATCTTTTCATTGGTAAAAGTGTAAACAATCTAAAGTAACATTGTCATGCACGTCCTCAATAAAAAGAATAAAATTTCTTTAAAATACTCCAAAAACTTCGAACTACTCCAATGTTTGTAAACTGCTCTACTGCAACTTCATTGTTGAAGTTCTTTGTTCCTGCCATTGTAAAAAAGATATATAATGAACAAAATTAGCAGATGCACGTACTAAAGGAAATATCTCTACAAGTAGCATATCGGCAAAATAACAAGTCAAGGACCAATAACTAAATGTTCAAAATTAACTTAAGAGATCCTGGTTCAATTCTGTTCAAGAGTTAGGCAAAGATGAACAATCAATACTCAATTTATAAGTAAGAGCAGCTAAAACCAGTTTTGGAAGCTAAAATAGCTTCATGGCTAAAAGCATTTCTTGACAATATCAATCTTAAACTATAACCAAATCTTAGCAGAGGATTTCAAAGACAATAGGTTAATGTATAGCTTATCAACAATGACAATTCTTGTACACGGAAAATAAGTTATTTACAATTGAACCATTATTGAATGAAAATCCTCAAGTCATGCAACCTAACTGTTAGAAAGCAAGCATGACTTAAACCTTGAAGACATTAGTTAAAAAAAAAGTTAACAATGTAGAAGGCTTCCTTAAGTTAAGAACAAAGTCTCTAGGAGAACTTACACGGCAAACTGTATACTAAAGATAAACTATCCAAATGGAGTGTCATCACTGATTTTCATGTTCCCTTTGCTTGACAGAACAGAGAGTGACACTCACATATTTTTTAAGTTTGAACTATCTACTTAAGTGTGGTTTAATATCTTAAACGGCAAGGCATAAACAGGTTCTGTATATTGAAGCGATGAATTAGAATTGGTAGTTTATAGAGCTAACGGCAAATATGCAGCAAATATCTTTAGGATGTTGAAATCTATTAAAGGTATTTCAATTCATCAGCTAATGGAGATCTATTCTTGCTACGAAAAAAAAAGGGATTTACATTATGTAATAGACATTGTATATGATTTAATTTTCAAGAAATTCTTCACTTGATATACATTTGGCAGGAGCGAAATAGCAGGATCTTCACAAAGAAGAAAATATCTCCTCAGTCCCTAGTTAAAAACATTATTCAAGAGGTGATTTATAGAGGATTTTTGAGACCTAATTGTAAGGAGAGGCTAAATGAACTGAATTTTTATTCTTTGTAGTGTTGAAGGTTTTTGAGTATGTTAGTAGTTGTAATCTGGTATCCTAAAAGCTTGTTGAAAATTCTTTGTTTAGATTTTGTTTTCTCACTTATGAAATTAAAATGTGCAGTAGGCGACTAGTGAAATTATTCTGTGAAGCAGGCGTACTTTTGATTCATATACATACTTTAACAGAAACTAATATGTGAAATGAAACTAGCAGCATTGTATTAACAGTTGTATAGTACATTTGTAGAGTACATAAATATTAGCATTTACCTTAATTCCAGCCATCATCGTAGCCATCTGCTCTTGAAATCTTTTATCAAGTTGTAGATTCATGTGTGCGCACTCCTCTTCTAGTTTCTTTTGCAACTCAGTACGATCTTCTTCTAGCTTTCTTTGTAACTCAAAACGATCATCTTCTAGCTTCCGTGACAATTCAGCAGCTATTTGTTCTTCTAACTTTCTTTGCAACTCAGCAGCTTGTTCACGTTCTTCTTGTAATTTTCTGTCCATTTCAGCTTGCATATCTTGACGCATGCTTTCCATTGCAGAAGACATACTAGCTTCTAATTCTATCTGCTGCACTCGTCTCTTTTTTGCAGGTCTTTTTCCGTACCCTTTCCACGAACATAGCCAGTTCATTCGCCAAGTACAGTAACTAAAATATCATCTGCATTCATCGGATTTTCTTCAAATTGTTGTTGCTCCATAATTTCTTGGAGCTGCCGCTGCAAATTATGCATAACAATTTATGATATAAAATAGGAGAGATAAAATAAAATAAATAAAACATAATTTCAAGAGATTACATGAATTTGCTGCGACTGTGGATGTGACCACACCAGTTCTTCTTTGTCATTCTTACGAGTATGTTGGAGCTCCCAAACTAGATCTGGTGGTGCCTTTTGTCCATTAACCGGATTTCTTTACGATTTATTAAAGTAGAGGAAAACTTTTAAGTACATAACGTGACCTAAAAAGGAATGACAAATATATAAAATATTATTGTGCTAAATTAATTTGTACTGTTGATTCCTCCACTTCAGCAAATGACTTTGACCACATGAGTGTTTAGTTATTTGTTTTCCCCTATTTATTTTGTTTCGCTCACTCATAGCCTGAAAGTATATCCATAAATTAAGAACTAGAATTGAAATAGTAATTTTTCACATATTTATATTACCAAGTTACCTTGAATTTCGGACTTCCAAAATGTCCTAACCGAAACACCCAATCCTCAGGTGAAACATAACTTGGCCTATGAGATAATCTCTCTTCATCAGTAGCATAGCGAGAGTATTCAACATGCAATCGAGTCTTCTATGTTCTAAAAAGCCTTTTCATAATATTGACAACAAGAGCTTGCAATACATGCTCTCGAACTCCGGTAGCTTCAAATTTATCCTAAATGCAAATACGAAAAGCTTTTGAGAGTAAATAAAACATGTGATAAAAAGTCGATATAACTTTATTAACAAATCATTACCTTAACCTTCAACCACATTGCATGACCATGTTTTGTGATTATTTCTTGCCAATCACCATCTCTGAATGAGATAGTGCTACGAATAATCAAACCACAATAGTTAATAATGTCCCTAGACCCGGGACCTACAGCTCTCTCAATGTCATATGGAATGACAATAGGAATTTTACTACCATGCTTAGTTTTCATATCTACAAGTAAAGATTTGTTTCTCCCTCTCCCTTTATTGGATTTGTTGCAAGAAGTAGCGCGCAAAAGAATTTATATTTAACAATCATATACTAAGGCTGTCATGAATATAACTTCTA